ATCTTGGCTCAGAGGCTTCTAGCGCTGGCAAAGTGACACCTGTATGTTGCCTCCCTCTCTGAGAAGCTAACCTCCCTTGGCCCTTTGGTCTGCTCACACAGCTCTCCTTTATCACCCTACTCTCATTCCCACTCCCACCAGTATTATCACAAGTGTTTACTGCAACATCACCTTTGGAGGAGTTGTTCCAAACTGGAGACTCCCCAGTTCCTGCAGGAGTTAGTTTAAAACTGCTCTGCCACCTTTTAGATATTGCCACCAGCACAGTTCCCCTTTGGTTCAAGTGGAGTCATTCTCTTTTGTACACATTTGGATTATCCTAGAAAAGTTCTCCAGGTCCTAATTAATTAAACTCTTTCTCTCAGCACCATTTTTCATCCACACATTGAGACCCTTAGTATATGCCCTGTCTAGCAGGCCCTGTTTGTGGAATAAGGAACAGTTCTGAGAATGCTACCTTTGGGGGAGGTGCTGTAAAGGCATTTTACTTCCAAGGGCTTTTAATGTGGTTTAAGCAGCAGAAAAAGCAGGAATTTTCTTGAGCAAGATGGGTAAATATGTTTTTATTATATCTTGTATGTTTTTAATTTTTAGAATTTTAAACCACCTTGAGCCACAATGGAAAGGCAACACATAAATATTTTAATAAAACAGATAAATAACTGAAGAAAAAAACACATTCTTTACATCAAAAACTGGGTCATTTTGTAGAAAGCAGAGAATCTTCTGCAGGGAAACAATGCATTTTGCTTAAAAATGATTTAAAGTCAAATTTGTGTATATGTTATACTTCTGAATTATGATCATTCACAAGGTTGTTATTAGGTTATTCATGCATTTGAAAACCAGATTATTATTTTTTTAAAAACCACTTTTTAAAATAATAATGTGACAGCAGTGCAAGTGTTGCTCAGGAAATGCTCATTTATTTGCTCATTTTTTTTGTTTCAGAGCCAGCCTTTAAAATCTCTTCGCAAACTGTTACACCTTTCCTCGTCGTCAAATCATTCAATTTCTTCTGAACCCCGATTCCAGCCATTACCAAGTCAGCCAGCTAAAACTTCCTTTTCTGAAGTTCGGATTCACCCTATAAATCAGGGTTCCACCAGCAGCAACATTCGGCAAGAGTCCCAGTCAAAAGGCAGAACAACGCTCCAGATCCCAGGCCAGATGGAACCAAGCTGGCATGTTTCTCCAGTGAACAGAAGTGCCAGTGATGGGGCTTCATACCCTGACCAAATGCCTTCTAAAAGTGGGCAGAACGGGCATACATATAACCGAACAAACAGATCTCGAATGCCAAATCTGAATGATTTAAAAGAAACTGCCTTGTAATAATACTCCTAGAAACACTATGGCAGGGATTTATCAAGGGGTATGGTGGTACTGGTGATCGTGTTAGTGACTGAAAGACCACTTTTATAAAAGATGTGCAATATTGAATACATTGAGCTACTGTTCAGTACCACATCAATAGAGATCGTACAGTGAAATGAACTTTCTTTAATTGCCATTCTTCTAATCCCATGACAACAGAATGTGCACTTCAGGGAAAATGAACTTATTGCCCTTTTCTCTTAATTTACATTCCAGCTTAGTGCACATAACTGTCTGAAAGCTGTGTAGGCACTTTTGGGGGTTAAAAGACATGTCTTTAGACCTATGCCCTTAGGAAAATTCTTGCTGCCTAGATTTAAAAGTTTTTTTACGTGGGGTTTATGTGATACACTTGTATCCCTAATAGGGGTTTAAAGTTCAGTTGTATGTCTTTTATTTGTTTTTTAAACTTCCATATTTGATAGGATTTGTAATATTTATTTATGATCTACTATCATATTGTTATAATCATATCTTATGTTACAACGTAAAGTTATTTTGAGCTGTCTGAAACATTGTGATGCAGTGCAACAGCTACAATAGTTTCGATAAAAACAAACATATATTTCATTAGGAGTATTTTATTATATACATAAACACACACACATAAATGAATATATATATATATATATA